AAAAAAAAAAAAAAAAATCAAGGAAACATTATAGAAAAGTCATGGAAGAATAAAAATACTCTAGCAAAAAGTAAAAACTTCAGAAAACTAGGAAAGGGTACTAGCTGAGGTAAAACCAGATTGGGAAGTCAGTAAGACCCTCAGTAGAGAAATTAATTACAGTTATCCTCTAAATGAATGCAAATATGATTAACCTACATGGTTCCCATATATTTTGTTGATATTGTTGTTGTTATGTGCCATAGAGTCAATTGTAACACACAGTGACCCTGTATAGGGTTTCTGAGGCTTTTAAATCTTTGTGGGAACAGAAACACTCATCTTTCTCCTACAGAGCAGCTGCTGACCTTGTGGTTTCCAGTTCAGTGCTTAGCATACGGAGCCACCACACTCCCAGTGTAGCACTGTGGGTTAATGCACTGGACTGGAAAGTCGGTTTGGACTGCAAGGTCAGCGGTTCAAGCTCACCAGCCACTCTTCGGAAATACTATATAAGAACAAACTCGATGGCACTTAGCAACAACAACAACAACAACAACAACAACAAAAAAATATATATATATATAGTAAGAAGGGGTAGAAGGAGAAAGAGAGTTGTGGTTGAATGCTATCAAGTCAGTTCTGACTCACAGCAACCCTGTGTGGTAGAGATTCTAAGAAGCAGCTGGTATGTTTGAACTGTTGACCTTGGGGTTCAAACAGTACCACACCAGTACTCCATATATATATTTTGTTGTTGTTATTAACTGCCATCAAGTCAGTTCCAATCACAGCAACCCTCCATAGGGTTTCCAAGGCTTTAAATCTTTGTGAGAGCAAAAAGTCTTTCTCCTGCAAGTGGCTGGTGGGCTCAAACCACTGACCTTGTGGTTTGCATTCCAGTGCTTACCATGTGGAGCCACCACACTGATTTATATATACATACACATACACACACACATATGTATCACTTTAAAAAACTGTTAATCTCTAGGAGAGTAGAAACAATTATATTTAAGAAGAGTTGTCTGAAGTTTTGACCAAAAAAGGCTCTGTTCATGAAAGGCTATGTATGATCCTGTGGCTATAGTTAACTGATACCTGCCCTAAAATTTTTCATGGCAAAAACAAAGTACTGGTTACCACTCCAATTGACAAATTACCACAGTCTCTTGTGAGCTAATGGGTTTTCTCAGGAAAATGCTAAATTGGAATTAACACAAAACTAACTTTTACTTTCTGAATTTATTTAATTTGGATCTTGGATCTTGATCCCAGTGATATACACAGGTTCCAATCAATCAATGCTGACTGACACGAGAACTGATATGGGATCCAGGCAGATTAATGATCCATTGCTCAGCTACATGTTAGCAATGTGATTTGGGCCAACTTATCAATTTCTCTGAACCAAAGTCACCTAGTATTTAAAAAGTAGGTAACAATATAAAATGGTGAAACCACTATGGAAAATAGTTTTGTTTCCTCAAAAGGTTAAACACAGAACTAACATATACGCTAGCAATTCCACTCCTGGGTACATATCCAACAGAACTGAAAGCAGAAATTCAAACAGATCCTGGCACACCAATGAATCTTGCAGCATAACTCACAAATGCTGAGATAACCCAAGTGTGACTAGCAGATGAATGGATAAACAAAATGTGCTATTACCCATACAATGAAATATGATTCGGCTGTACAAAGAAGTGAAGTTCTGATACATGCTATGACATAGATGAACCTTGAAAACATCATGATAAATGAAATAAGCTGCATACAAAGGACAAATATTATATGATCCCACTTATATGAAATGCCTAGAATAAGCAAATGTACACAGACCAAAGTAAATTAGTGGCTACCATGGGCTGAGGAGAGTTACTGCTTGAGTCCTGAGTTTCTGTTTGGGGTGATCCAAAGCTTTAGAAATAGATAGCAGTGATGGCTATGTATCATGAATATAATTAATGTCATGGAACTGTACACTTAAAAATGGTAAAAAGGGCAAATTTTATGTTATATGAATTTTACCTGGCACAGTGGGTTACTCGTGGGACTGTTAATCAAGTCAGCAGTTCGAATCCACCAACCACTCCCACAGGAGAAAGAGGAGACTTATTGCTCCCATAAAGATTTACAGCCTCAGAAACCATACATAGGGTCACTATGAGTCAGAACCAACTTGATGGTAGTGAGTATGGTTTTGGTTTTTAAATATATTATACCACAATAATGTATTAAAAAAAAAAAAAAGGTAAGTGCTTGCTTGCTGAAAGGAAAGAGTACTTAAATGACTTACTGATACAGATCAAAGACTACAGCATTCAATACAAAGAAAGCTAAAATTGTCACAACTGGACCAATAAGCAACATAAAGATAAATGGAGAAAAGATTAAAGTTGTCAAGGATTTCATTTTACTTTGATCCACAATCAACACCCACTGAAGCAGCAGTCATTTAATAAAATAATATAGTGCACTGGGCAAATCTACTACGAAAGACCGCTTTGAAGTGTTAAAAAGCAAAGAGGTCACGCTGAGGACTAAGGTGCACCTGATCCAAGCCTCGGTACTTCTCATCCACTTCATGTGGATGAGAAAACGAGGCAATTAATAAGGAAAACCAGGAAAGGGTGGGGCTTGATGGCGGCTAGGGTGAAGGTGTAGTGAAGGTCGCCATCAGCAATAACTCAGAATTGCAGGCAAAAAAGAGGCAAGACAGAGCTCCAAAACTCGGACCCACAGAGATAGAAATAGTTTAAAGGTTTGAAGGCTTATAGCCTGTGGAATTTGGAGCTGAGACGGGAAATCGCGTACTTTTGAATCTGCCAGCCAGGCACGGAGGCCTAAGCCCACATCCGGGGTGAGTCCAAGCGGCCGGACGAAATAGGAGCCGCAGAGACACAACGGAATTATGCTGCAGGAACCTTGGGGGAAAAAAAAAAGGTTCACAGTATACTCTGCCGATTTTGTGTGGTTCCAATTTTATTTTTTTCTTTGGTGTCGGGTAATAGGTGCGCTCACGGTTTGCCCACCTACATTCGGGTGAATAGAGGTAGGGGCTTAGCCGAGTGGCCACGACCCACCCTAACCGCTGGCGATTTCCTCTGCCAGGAATTCACACACTCAGCCCAAGCTGAGACGCGGATTTGGTCGGCCTTTTTGCACTGGGTTGAGAGGGGTCCTGGCGTAGTGCTGTGGGTTAAGGCACCGCACCGCAAATTCTTTTGAACAGCAAGATCGGTGGCTCAAGCTCACCAGCCACTCCACTGGTTTGAGAGGCGTCCTGGCATAGCGCAGTGGGTTAAGGAGCCACTGTACAGCCTTTTGAACTGTAAAGTAGGTGGTTCAAGTTCACCAGCCGCTCCTCAGAAATCCTACACGGAAGACGCAGATGTGCGATCTATTTGGTCGGCTTTTTTTTTTTTCCGCTGATTTGAGAGGCGTCCTGGCATAGCGCTGTGGGTTAAAGCGCCACTGTAAAGCCTTTTGAACTGCAAGGTCGGTGGTTCAAGCAAATCAGCTGCTCCGCGGAAACCTATTCAGGAGATGCGGATGTGAGTACTATTTGGTCGGCTTTTTCTCACTGGTTTGAGAGGCATCCCGGTGTAGAGCTGTGGGTTAAGGCGCCACTACAAAGCCTTTTGAACTGCAAGGTCGGTGGTTCAAGCTAACCAGGCATCCCGCGGACACCCTATACGGGAGACACGGATGTGCATCCTATTTTGCCAACTTTTTTTTTTCTTTATCACTGGTTTGAGAGGAGTCCCAGCATAGGACTGTGGGTTGAGGTGCCACACTGCAGAGCCTTTTGAACTGCAGGGTCGGTGGTTCAGGCTCACCAGCTGGTCCTCGGAGACCCTGTGCAGGGTCACTACGGGTCAGAATTGACTCGACAGCACCTTGCAGTAGGGAGAGGAGGGCAGAGGTGACTGAAAGAGAGTTAGGACATTAAATAAATACTTATATTAAGCTACAGATTTTTCTTTCTTCT